TGAGCCAGGCACAACCCGCTCTTCTGGAACCGACGTGCTCACGGAGGAGAGCAGGAGAGGGCACTCGGGCTGGAGAGGCCCCGGGGGCCCGCCCCGGCCTGCTGTGACAGAGGGCCGGGCGGTGGGGACGGCTTGCCGGGTGTGGGCGTGTCTCCGGGGCGCTGGCAGCCGCGGTGAAAATACTCCAGACAAACCCAAGCCGCCTCCACCCACATGACACATGACACAGTGACCCACTGGGGGCAGGCTCCCTGGGGTGAACCGGCCCCGCTTTCACCAGCACCCCCGCTGGTTTCCAGGCGGGCAACCTGCGCAGCACGAAGCCAGCCTCTGGCCTCCAGGAAGAAATGAGCCCGGAGTCAGGGCTGATGACGGAGGGTGTGGACAGAGCGAGGAGGGGCAGGATGCGGGGAGCCCCCAGGGCAGCATCAGCCTCATAACTGGCCACAGAGCGGAGCCTGAGGAGCGGGAACTAGAGGAAGGGGCACATTTGGGATGGGCGCACCCCGAATTTCAGTCTCTTGAATACAGTGCTCAAGACAGATTGGGATTCCAGGAATAGGCTGTGACAAAGGGAAAATAGTCCCCAAATGTTTACTTCCTCTGTCACAGAGCCACACCCATGCCCTTGCCTCGTGACTGCACTATCAACCCCCCACCCCCACCCCTGGCAGCAGGCACGGGCTCCCCCCCAGGACGGCCTTGGCCCCCTGACTTGCCTGGCACCGGATATGAGCAGACAAGATGCCAGGCTTAGACAGAGGCTTCCAGTGTGCCTGTGTGGGTTGTGTGGCCCTGTGGGCTTCACAGAGAGAATGCCCCAGGTAGCTCATCTTTGCCACCTGGGTCCCAGAGAGAGACCCGTGGAACACACTGAACCCGACCCACAGAGCCCCTCAGGCCGGCCTACAGCCCTGGGGGCAAGAAAAAATGACGTTGTCAAGTCCTAGGGGTTCTGAGGGCTGTTTGCTCTGCAGCATTTTCTCAGCAGGAGCTAACACACCTGCCCACCCTCAGCTAGGGGACGGCCAGGGGACAGCTAGGGGACGGCCAGGGGGCAGCCAAGGGACAGCTAGGGGATGGCCAGGGGACAGCTAGGGGACGGCTAGGGGACAGTTAGGAAATGGCTAGGGGACGGCCAGGGGACGGCCAGGGGACAGCCAAGGGGCATCTAGGGGACAGCTAGGGGACAGCTAAGGGACGGCTAGGGGACAATTAGGGAACGGCTAGGAGACAGCTAGGGGATGGCTAGGGGATGGGTAGGGGACAGCTAAGGGACGGCTAGGGGTTGGAGGGGGACAGCTAGGGGACAGAGGAGATGTCTAGAGGACGGCAAGGGTATGGCTAGGGAACAGAGGGGGACGGCTAGGAGATGGTTAGGGGACAGAGGCGGACGGTGGGGGATGGCTAGGGGATGAGGGGCATCTCAGTGAGCTGACCCCCCAAACCACAGAAACTCTAAGTACCCCACAGACATTGACGTGCCATGACCTGAGGAAGGTGGGACACATACTGGGAAGGTTCTGGCCAGGCTGGGGCAAACTTCTGGTTCACAGATGCGGTGCCGGGGGCTGGCCTGTTAGCCACAATGCGCTTCCCGGCTGTCACCCTGCAAGCAAAAAGCATGTTTGAACCCCAAAGGAGCAGCTGGCTCTGCTGATTTATAGGGCCTGAATTGGATCTGTGAGAGCAAATTGAATTTTGAATACAATTTCATGTCAATTAACTTTGCTCCCAGCCTTACAGAGGAGCAGTGACTCTTTAGAGCAAAACCGAACGGCAAAGATTGATGGGGCTGACGGGCCTGGCGTCCGGGGAGCAGCCACTTGTCAGCAGCGCCTCCCAGAGCTCGGCAGAGTGACCAGGTGAGGGCCAGGCTCCAGGCCACAGCGCTGGGCCAGGGCGTCCAGGGCGGGCAGCGGTGGGACGGAGGAGGGGGAGGGGTGGAGGTGGTGGTGGTGGTGGAGACAGGCTTCTCTCTGGCAGCGTTCCTGCCTGTGGGGAGGGGGGACCCCTCTGCCCTCATTGCACTGGGAAGGAAGGTTTTCAGGGATGCGATGAAGGGACAGCAGGGACCTGGGCTGGCAGTAGGGCAGAAGCCAAGCCCCAGGGGCCTGGGAGGGAGCCAGCAAGATGCCCAGAACTAGGGCAGAAAGAAGACGGAGGCTATCACGGTCATCAGGAGCCCGGCCCTGAGGGTGCGGACGGCCTGGGGGAGGTGGGGCAGGGGGTGTGTTCCAGGATCCCGTTCTCAGGAATGCTGGTGGCTTCACGTGAACAAGAGGTGGCACTCATGTGCAAGCCCTACTATGTGCCAGGTGCTGCTGTGGTGCGGAAACCTGGGTTTCCCCAAGTGTGGTCCCCAGACCTGCAGACTGCTTGTCCGACGTGCAGATTCTCAAGCCCCCCGTGGGAACGGATGGCTGGGAAAGTCTGAGGCAGGCCCGGAGATTATCCCCACGGACCTCCCAGGCCCACGTGACTGGCAGTTCCAAGCTGGAGAACTCTCTGAATCCTCAGACAACCCACTGCAGGGAGCAGTGTCATCACCGCCCGCCCCGTTTCAGAGCAGGGACACCAGGACAGAGAAGCAGATCATTTACCCAGTCTCATGAGCGGAAGCCAGGGACGGAGCCCGGAGCCCGGGCAGTCTGGTTCTATGCCTGCCCCGCCCAGTGCGGCCTCGGCCTCGTTCTAGGAGGGTGGGGAAGGGGCCACAGGAGAGGGCCCATGGGAAGCACCAGGCTGGGTGTAGGGAAGGTCTCCGTACCCTCCAGAGCAGTCATGGAGCCTGGATGGTGCCCTGGGAACAGGCCATGGATCCCAAGGCCTGTATCCAAATGAAACCCTGAACTGCTATCCTGGGACGCCCTCCGATACCCACATTTTCTGGCCTCCGTCCTCAGGGAGGATTAGGAAAGCAGGAATAGAGAGATGTTCTGGTTCCATTTCTGTCTTCCTGATGAGGTTCTTACAAATCACTAGGGATGCTGCTGGAGGAGTCAGAGTTTTCATAACAAAACCCGGAATGCGAAGAGGGGGAGGCGAGCCCTGCCCCCACCCAGGGAAGGCTGCGGGGGAGGGGAGGGGAGGGGGTGGACCAGAGGCTGGCAGTTCAGGAGCCTGACCCTGTGCCCAGGGCACGTGGAGCCGCCTGCCCAACAGAGACCCTGCGCCCCACACTTCAAGGTCAGACGGACTGGAAGCCCAGGCTCCTGCGCGGAAGGGCAGTAGACCATCCCTCCTGCACTGCCCAGGGCAGTGCTTCCTCATCAAGCAACAGGGCACCTTCCAGAGTGCATCCACTGCGTTTCCTTCACTCTCCCCACACGCCAGCAAATGTCTCCCTGCCTCCGTGCCTTTGCATCCCAGGCCGTGCTCCCCGCAGGGAAACACGGTTCTGCAGTTCTGTGCACGGCCAGCCAGCTCCTTACCGTCTTGCGGGTCTCAGCTCAGATCCTCACTCAGAGGCACTCTGGGACCACCCAGTACCCGTTTCCTATGACACTTCTCTACTCAGTTTTCTTCATGTTATCATTAAATATTATGTTATTTGGCTCCATGGTCATGTTCTCTCCCACTTCTGAAAAGGCCCTCTGTCTCTTTCATTACAGCACCACAGATGGTGCCTGGACTGGACGTAGTGCATTTGGTAAATATGTGTTGAATGAATTAATGATCTTAGGACTGAAGAAAACAGACAGCCTCTCCCCACCTGTGTGTCCCTCCTTACCCCAGCAGGTCTCTTATTGGAGAAAGAGGAAGTTCACCATTCTACTTAGTTTTCAACTCTCCACCTGCCCCTTCCCATCAGTACCTGCTCCTCTGTAACAATCAATCTCTGCAGCCCAAACTGCTATCTCTCTGCAAACCAGGAGGCCCTGGGGCCTCAGTGAGGCAGTCTTTATGGGGTATATTCTGGGGTCCGGAGCTCTGGCCTTGGGAGAGCTGCCTTACTGTAAAGTCTGAGCAGCCTGAGCTGGGAGAGGGAGGGGGATCCTCTGCACCTGGGACCGCAACAGGGAGGTCAGGGCTCCACTTGGGCAGGGCAGTGAAGAATAGGCAGAGCTGAGAGGCTGCAGGACACCCCCAGGGAGAGGGGCGGGGGGCACGCGAATTCGGCTTAGACTGGGGTACGGTGTAGTGGAAGGCTGAGAAACTTGCACCGGGCCTTCACACACTCGCTCACCAGGCCAGGGCTGTCCGTTCCCCTTCTACACACATCCCACGTGGGCAGGACTTCTAGGGCCTGGGAGCCCTCCCCCAGTAAGATGCTCCCCCTCCGCCCCCGTATCAGGAGCGGCCCTGCCGATGCCCTTCCCATGGGGAGCAGGGACCAGGAAGCCCATGCATGCTTCGCACCCCACCAGAGCCCCCGGCCCGGGTGTGACGGTGAGCTTGCCCCCTCGACCCACGTGTCTGGTTTGGCTGGAGAGGCCCCACTTTTCTGGAATGAGACCGAGCCTGGGGAGGCGCAGAGAGCCAGGGACCCTGCGCTTCCCACGTGAAGGGGCGCCAGTCCAGGTGCAGGCAGAGGGGCGGGGCCTGAAGGGATGGGGCGGGGCTCCGCGGAACCCCGCACGCGGGGGCGGAGCCCAAAGGGGAGGGGCCCCGAGAGCAGGAGGCGGGGCGGGGCCTGCCTGGGCGGGGCGGACTGCGCCTGGGGCGGAGCCTTGGCGCAGCACGGCGCGCGGCGCGCTGGAGGGGCGGGGCTGGGGCGCGGTCGGGGCGGGGCCTGGGCGGGGCGGGCGCCGGGCTCCGCTGGAGCGCCCACTTCCTCTGGCGCTGGCTGCCGGGCGGAAGTACGTCAGTTGTTATCTGCTCCAGGCGCTGCCGCCGCTGCCGCTGCCGCCGCCGCCACCGCCGCCTCAGCCTCACGAGCCACGGCGCCTCAGCTCGGGACCCGCCCCGCCCGCGCTCCGCCCGCAGCCGTCGCCGCCCGCCGCGCATGAGGCGCGCCCCCGGGGCCGCGGCCGAGGGCCGCTGAGCGCCGGCCGCCCCGCCGATGCGCGCGGCCGCCCGTGCCGGGGCTCCCAGGCCGCGCCGGGCCCGGGGCTGAGGGACCCCGCGCGGCATGCCCGGCCCGGCCCGCCGCCCGCCGCCTCCCAGGGCCCGAGCCCGCGCGGCCCGCACCGAGCCCGGCGGCGCCGTGTAGCGCAGCGGGAGCGGGAGCGCGGGAGCCCGACGGCGCGGCCGCAAGGTCACCGCGCACCATGGAGGCCAAGGTCCGCCAGAGCCGGCGCTCCCGCGCGCAGCGGGACCGCGGCCGGCGCCGGGAGGCGGCCCGCGACGCCCGCGACCAGAGCGCGTCGTCGGGCGACGAGACCGAGCCGGGGCCCGGCAAGGAGAACGCGGGCCTGCCACGCGCGCCCGCGCCCCGCGCCGCCGCCGTGCGCCCCCCGCGCCGCCGCCGCCGCGAGTCCAGCTCGCAGGAGGAGGAGGTCATCGACGGCTTCGCCATCGCCAGCTTCAGCACGCTGGAGGCCTTGGAGGTGGGTAGGGCGGCGGGCGGGGCGCCCCTGGGGCGGCGGCACACCCCCCGCAGCCCCGCGCGCTCGCAGGTGGCCCCGGGGGGCCCGGCAGCCTGCGGTGGAGGCGGCGGGCGTTCGTGCCTGGAGCTGCTGGGGAGAAGAGTCTCTAAATTACACTGTCCAGACCGAAGGCCGCCTGCTTGCGCACTCGCCTGTGTTGAGCTGTTTCTTGTTCCAAAATTTGACTTCATCCGACTCGGGCCGTGCCGGGGAGGGGAGCGCTGCCGGCGTGGTGCAGGCAGTCGTGGGATGGATACTTTGAGATTCTTCCTGTTCCTTTCGTCCTCCTTGAGGTTTCTGTTCAGACGGAGAGAGGGAGGGTAATATCCAAGCCACCCTCCGCACTGTCTTCACCGGCTGGTTGGTTAATAGGGTGGCAAAAAATATTGCTTGTCTGGCCGAGTTACCTCCGAGTTATTGGCTCAGCAAATACTGCCCTTTTGTGTGGACCCAGGTGAGTGGGAAAGGAAATAAATACCGACGTTCGGAAATCTGGCAGGTGGGGCGCCTGCGTGGGGAGCCCCTGTCTTCTAGAACGATGTAGGCGTGCTGGCCAGGCCCACACCCTGCAGGGGCCCCAAGCAGCTCTTATTTGGGGCTGCTGGCATCTGCTGGGCTTGGGGTCCCAGAGATGACACACTTAACAGCCCCATTCCTTTACCTGGGGTGTGAGGCCAGTGGCCTGGGATCCCCAGTCTGAGGCTGAGCTCCAGGAGAGTGGACGGGCCTACACAGCAGCTCCCTAAGGTCTGCCAGGTCTGTGGCGGGTCTGGTGTCAGGGGCTGGCCACCAGGGAGAGGTGGCCCAGGGACAGGTGTGCTGCTTTCTGTCTGGTCAGGTGGATGCACAGAGGTGGGGCATTTACGCGGACCACGCAGCCCCCCTGGCCCTCTGTGTGCACAGCTTGGGGGCCTGACATGGCTCCCAGATCAAGGGGTCCCCAACTAAGACACTTTTGGGGGGCGGCACTTGCCACGGCTCTGAACTGAGAAGGAGTGGCCAAGTTGTGTCCTGTGGTTTCTGAGAGTGCGTACGCCAGCCACCTTCTAGACGTGTACCTGCCCCGCCAGGTGGGGAACAAAACCCTAACTGGTCCCAAGGCGCTGCGCCCGTCAAATTGGCCTCTCCCACCCGACACCCTCTCTCACCAGAATGTCGGCCCCTGTGAGGTTCTGCTGCCTCAGGGCCTCCGTTCTGCTGTCCCCTCTGCTGAGCTCATCAGGAGCCTTCATGTCTCAGCACGGATGTCACTTAGAGAGCCGCCCCCCCATCGACCTTCGGAAGGGGCATCCCTCCTCCCCTACCCCCACCCTGTCGACCTCACACTGTCCTTCCTGTCAGTGACCACTCTGTCTGAAGCCATCTGGTGATTTACTCGCTCTCCATTCTGGCTCTCTCCCCACCAGAACTTGTAAGCTGGAAGAGAGCAGGCAGCACGTGTGTCCTGTGTCCTGTGTGTCCCCTGTGGGTTCCCGTGCCCCATGCGTGTTGTGGAGTGAATGCTCGAGAGAGGAAACCGCTGTTGAGGAGGGCCGCGCCAGAAGTCTCCCTGCACCCCGGAGAAACAAGTCTGCCAGTGCACGCGGCAGCCTTGGCTGTTCCCACCCCTCTGGCCTCACGAACGCTGGAAGTGCAGCCTTGGGTCTGGGGGTTCAGACCAGTCCTGGTTGGGTCATAGACCGAGTCTGCTTTCTGCCTGGTGTTCACACAGCCGTGTCAGCGGGCCCGTTCTCTGCCCTGCTGAGCCAGGGAGGGGCCCGCCTGCCATGGAAAGTACGGGGCTTCTGCTCGAGTCATAACTTCTAGATGGGTTCTCTCGTTTGGGCTCATTTCTTGCTAAACTGTAATGGTTTTCCCCGGAGTTCAGATAACTCGTAAGGACGTTGAGTTGCTAGCACACAGTGAACACGTACCCGACCAGGCACTGTTCTGAGTCTGTCCCCAAACCCCACTGTACAGTTGGGGACACTGAGGCCTTGTGCCATGAATGTCAAGGCCCCAGCTCTGCCCGGGCTGCCACCCCCAGGACATGAACAACCATTGCCAGGGGTAGACCTGCTCAGGAGGTCTGGAGAGTGCCCTTGTCCGGAGTCCTCCTCGCCTTTGTGCTGAGGATGCGGCCTGCCCTGCCCGCCCCCCCCCCCCCCCCCCCGAGGCCCCAGACAAGTCCCTGGCCCCACCCTTCCAGCCCCTACCGACACACCCACCTTGTTTGCCCCTAAAGGAGGACAGGTCCTTGTCCTGGGTGGCTGAGGGTCACAAGTCACTTCTGTGTGATGCCGTGCACACACGCGTGGGGCAGTGAGGGGCGGTGTTTGCTGAGGAGAGGGCGCCCAGGTCGGGCCTGGCTCACGGTGTCGTCGCCACAGGAGTCCTGGACTGGGTGGCTGGAGCTCGGTGTCTGCGCCCCTGGCGTGCACCCCTGAGCCCTTGTCCTTTGTCAGCTTTCTGATCCTCTGTTTAACAGGGTGGGAGCAGGGGGCAGGGGGCGGTGGAGCAGGGGTCTTGCGGTTTGGTAGCGGGACAGAGGCTGTCTTTGCTCTCACTGACCAGGGACGTTGGGGACGGATGGATGTTACTTGCCTCCTGGTTCCTGTGCCATCTCTGTCTCCAGAGGTGATGGCAAGGCCCTTGGAGGATAGCCGTCCAGGGTAGAACTGAGGTGCTCCGCCCGGGTCCTGCCCCCTAATGAAAAGAGCAACCCTTAGGGCACAGGTCAGGTGGTACCAGCCCCCGGAACCCCCCCGGGAGATTCACTCTGCAGAGCTGCCGTGCGCCTACCTGCGCTTTCCTGGGGGTGCCTGGTGCCCGCCCTTGCCGGCGTGCCCTGTCAGCGCCCACCCGTTGAGAACGCGTGTGCCACTCGCACCTGCTGGAAACCACCCTTCTGGTTTGGTATCTGTGTGATTCTTTGTTAATTTGATTTCAAACAGCAAGACATTTTCCCTTGGTTTAAGGTCGATATCAGTGAAAAGGGATTGTCCTGAGAAAATTCTCGGCTCCAGCCTAGACGTCCCGCAGACACTGTTCTGGCAGCTCCCGGCCTCGCCGGAGCGTGTTGTGCATTCGCACCCACACAGATGTGTGCTTGTGTGCCCTTCTCTCCTGCTAGAGAAGGGGTTATTCGGCGCTCCTGCCCGTGTGTAAGAGGTACGTACCCAGGAATAAAGATGAAAAGGAAAGCACCCAAAGTTCTAGTCACGGTTAACAGGTGACCTCCTTTCTCTAATCGTGCTCCCCCACCAGTGGGTACACCTTGTCTAGATAACGCGACCTGCTGGACACAGGGTTGTGCTTGAGACTCCCGGGCCCAGCCTCGCCGAAGCCACAGCAGCAGGTGAGTGGCTGTGTAGGCGGGCGCTCCTGGCCTGGCTGCCCAGCTCCCAGTGCTGTGCCAGGGTGTTCTGTGCATTTCCGCCAGAAATAACTGGGTTCTCCCAGCCTTAGGATGCTGGGGCCACTGACCTCGAGGCAGGCAGCGGAGGCTGCCTCAGTCCTGATGGGCGGTGGCCATGTGGGAGGTGGGGGTGTCTGTGGTGTGCCAGAACAGCCCCCCAGGTCACGTGCAGGGGGCTCCGTGGTAGTGATCTCTCTGCAAGCTGGGTTCAGTGTCCCCTGGGGCAGGGGGCACACAGTCACGTTAGGTCTGGTTGCTAAGGGCCAGGATTGTGGGGGGCCAGGATGTGGCCCCGTCGTCCCTGTGCAAAAGCCCACGCTGGTGGTCCCTCTGGTGGGGGCTTTGATCTAGGGGCCCATGTGCTGTGCCTGGCCCATCCCTCCGGTGAGGGGACCAGAGGCGAGTTGGTGCTGGGAGGAGGCATCAGCTGGGAGTGACCGTGCCCACCGGCCAGAGCACCTCCTGCAGGCTGCCTCCTCCTCTCCAGATGGGGAAACTGAGGCCCAGAGAGGGGGAGCACTTTGCCTGCAGTCATGGGACAGAGGCACAGCACCAAGCCCGGAACCTGCCTGGCCTGGCATTGGGTTGGTCCCCTGTCCTCCTGAGGGCTACTGCTGTGGGGGAGGGGCTGCTCCCGCCAAGGCGGGGACCCCGCCACTGGATGAAATAGAGACGTTGCGTAGCCTCCTCTGCCCGCATGGACACCTGCTGCCCTGCCCGGACAGCAGCAGTGTGCTGATTGTGGTGTGGGAGCCTGGACTGGGCTCTCCCGTTTTGTGGGTCAGCGTCCTGTTGTGGGCAGGCGTGTCATGGGAGCAGCGGTGATGGTGACAGCTGAGGGCACTGTCCCCACACACCCTCTGTAGATGCGGAGACTGAAGCCCAGGGCGGCAGGGTTCTCATCGGGGGCCTGCCCGGCACAGCGCCAGGCCACAGAAACCTCCTGGGTCTTTGCCCAAGCTCGAGTTGCATCTTCTAGACGTTCTTTGGGAAGAAGCTGAGCTCGAGCGGAGAGGGCAGTCGTCTGCGCGACTTCTAAAGGGGTGGCCTTTCCTGGGCTGCAGGAGCAACAGAAGGTGCCCACACTGCCCTGGGTGCGCTGCCTGCCCTCTGAGCTCCATGGGCATCAATGGCCTGCAGAGTCTCTGACTACGCACGGGCTGGGTGGGGTCCCCTCCTCGCTGCACACCTGTCATGGGCAGTGAGGCCATAGGGTGACACTCATGCAGTATGGCAGAGTGCGGTGGAGGCGGCCATGGTCCCCCTCATGTGTAGTGGGCCTGTGTATCTGGCCCAGTCCCCTGCTCCCCTTTGCCTGGGGATCATGTACACAGTACTTGTGACTTGTGGGCCTCAGTTTCCCTGTCTTTTCTGCCCACTCTGTGGCCCAGCATGGGACCGACAGCAGCAAAGGCGGCGGACACTGAGTGCCTGGCAGCCGCCCAGCACCTGGAGGCGGAGCCTCACCTTCCAACCAGCTGGGTTTGGCCAGGATGGGCAGCACAGGCCGTGGGGGCGCCCCTGCGCAGGCCGCAGCCTGCCTTCCCCCTGCCCTCACTCCGAG